TTCAGTAATAGACTTTTAACGCTTCACACATGTGGCACAGATTCCAGAGATCATTCAGTGAAATGTGTGCACTCATTCATTATTAGCGAAAAATGAACAAGGATTGTGAATAGCAAGGGAATAACAACGGATTTCAAATTTCTTGTATGTGTGGTCAGATTTACAAGTAATCATTCGAACACAAGTAACATGCATTTAGAACTATGATTTGATCAGCCCCTATCGAGTCATAGAAACGGTAATTGATGTCCAGTGTAAAACGTAATTTGAGTGATACACATATTACTTCCCAATGATCTCTTCACTCAAAACTGTTATGTTGAGTTGGCTTTCGGAGAACTTCAACGGAGACTCCAGAGGCCAAAAAAGGAGCCGAAGAGTCCTAGCTAATCACAGCACGACGGAGCATTCTAGAATTCCAATGTAGCGTGCTACTATTGGTCAGTAGCATAATACGTCGTTAACGGATTGGCCGAAATATGATGTTGATTTAACAAACGCTAACATCTATAAATACCCATGATTTTCTGTACTACAACGAACTTCGGAGTAAAGTATTTCTCTCATACTTTGCGTCTTCTCTCTGGTGTTCAGGGAGCTGTGTAGTTCTAGCTTGCGGGTTACCAGAATAGCTTAGGAAACGAATATAGCGTTCAATCGACAAGACTTATCATGATATTTCACTAGTTGTCTTAATGTGACCATCTTCATGAAGTACCTCAATAACTTCATCTGATTTTCAAATGTTTGTCGATTCACATAAAGCTATAAATATTGGATCAATTTTTTGTAGCAAATGATGAAGCTTTATAGAAATCCATTTTATATCATCGTTTCGCATCTGCTACTCACATCCATATACGTATGTGTGAATAAACAAGTGTCAGGTCATTTGACGATGGTATTAAACAACAGAAGAGGGGGTTGAAGCATTAATAATATAGCGTCCAGATACTGATAGGATGAATCGTGTGATGATTATAGAGGAACTAAAGAGTTCATGTAAGTTTCGGATCACTTGAGTCAAACATATAAGAGTTACACGGTTATGGGATCACAATTATCTAGAATTCGGAGTAGATATAAATAGATAACCAATAATTTTAGGAGGTCTGAAGAGTCCAAGTTTGTTTAGATGAATGAAAAATTAATTTTAGTGTTCATAAAATAATATTTAGTTAGGTGAATATTGCATAGTAAAATTAGGACATGGTGGAGAAGATTTGTAGCTCAGGTGGATGATTTTGGTGGAGTTTTGTTCTCTGAGCTGGATGGTTTGTTCGTGGAGCTTTCATCGTTCTTCTGAACGACATCATCAGCACAAACTTCAAATAGAAGTGAAGTGTTAGAATTTCTCCATATGTGTTTCACAGCTTGTTCTGTGCACCTCGATGTTGATTGGTTCTTGTTGACCTTAAATTTATCATTGCTTACTTCTTTGTTTTGGTTGTGTCTTCCATTGGAGAACAAAACTCCACCAAAATTAGGACAATAATAACAAAGTTATTATTAATATTATTGCACGTGATTCCAATCAAAATTGTCAGTCATCCAAGGTAATGATAAATCCATTTCTACCTCTTTCCGGTCACATAAATCTGGTTTGAGTTTTCTGATTGCTAATGCTTCATGAATGCGAACAGAAGCTGTATTATGTTGTCAACAAATGCCAAACAAAATAAAGTGAAGAAGATGAATCAGTGTGGTGAGTGCTACTTATATTGATGTAAGTAGTATGTGACGCGAGTCCGGAACGTAATGTCTGGCAGCAGAAGATGAGGGAAGATCAAGAAAGGAAGAGCGGCAACACAGAGTTTTTGGAAATTTTCACGATATTTACCAACAACAACAACAACAGCAGCAGCAGCAACACCAAACGGTTCAGTTTGCAGACGATCGAAAGTCTCAATTACCCATTCTAACTACTATGTACTTATCAGTAGTCACACGATTTTATTCTAATATTACTTCATCATGAACGTTATGTTATATTAAGTTGGAAAGTCATAATAGTAAACTATATTCATATCTATTCTTTTGTGATACCAATCAATAAGCTACAAAATCCATCAAGGTCATTACATCAAACCAATTCTATAGACTTCAATGAAGCTCTGAAGCACGTTGAAATGAAAAACATTAATGACCTAGTCTATTTCAGAAAATTCAGTGCCCACAAATCTATTCATTGAAAGGCAACTACACTATGACTGATATTATTGAACACATCGATTTATTACCATAATCATGTAGCACATCATTATCTTCATCTCCGTTGAATTGTAGCTTTAGGAAAAGTGGTTTATTAGTAGGCGTTGATGTCGCTATTTCCCTATTTGTTACATGCAAGTGTTTCTTCTTGTCGATAACTCATTTCAATCAACATATTATGTATGAGATCTAATTCCTCATTTATTCTATTGACTGAGCATATCTTCCTAGTTCTACTTGCAAGACATTCCTATTTCACTGTTATCATTGACTCATAAACTGCCTTGATTGGTTTAGTGATTACATTTATGCATATAAATATTATTGCATATTACAGTTAAGCTTGATGAATATTTAGTCGAAAACAATATTGTTCCAAATGAAATGCATGAATAACCTAGTCAATTTAGCTGTGTGATTCAACTCGTCAATACAATAACATGAAATAACAAACTAAATCATATAATGATTTCAATGTAAATTTCACTTCTCAACTGTAATTCGACTTCATTGCACTTTGGAGTTATAGAAAGGGTGATTGATATCCAATTTAAAAGCGATTTTGAGTGATACATATATTACTTCTCAATGACCTCTTCACCGTAGACGGTTGTTTCACTAGTTGTGTTCATATGGCGATCTTAATTAAGTATCTTTATATCTTCATCTGCTTTTCAAATGTTTGTTGCTTCACACCAGAACACTCACACTAGACGACCGTAAAACACAAGCAAGAATGCAAAAAATGTGTTTACAAAAAACTCATTTATCTGGTAGTATTTAAAATCCTTTCATAATTAGTCACTGACTGTCATCAATTCCTATAATTTTATATGAACAACCATTTTTTTTATTTGAGTTACTTTAAGAACTAGACAAAAGTAATATTGCATATGCATTCCTTAGGGCTAAATAATTCACGAAAGCTCTTTATGAAACATAACTTTATCATTATTGAACGATTATTATTGACACAGTTTAAAGATATTTCAAGTTGAACTTTCCGACTGTAAAGTTTTGATTATTCAACAAGATAAGGTATATAGTCAACTTTAAAAAATAGAACATTTTAACATGGGTGCAAAAACACCGATAGAACCATTTCCAAAACTGAATATTTTTGAAAATTGTGTTATATAGGAATGTATAGTATTTGCGCCAACTTACCTAAAGTTATCGATAATGAGCCTCAAATCAAATACGGCATTATAATTTCATAATCTCGTTTATTTAATGTAAATATATGTTTTGAATCAGCCAACTCATCAATAGTCGTCATTTTCTCAAGCATAGATTTAGGTCTAGAACTATGCATTAAATGTTTTTCTTATTCAATTCTTATTTACACCAAGCTCGCTTATCAGTCGAAATTATAAACTATAAATATATGGTTATGCTTTAGTAGCCCTATATTCGACTCCAGTTCGATCGTTTCTCATTGCTACTGAAATATACATGTCACCAATCCTCGTATATAATTTCCGACTTAACTCGCGTTAGTGAATAACGCAATCAAATAAGTCAAATACGAGAATGGATTTCCGAAAACGTATATTTCGTACAATTACTGATCGAGACAAACAATCAGAGAGACGAAGCGAAGAAAGCAAAGTGAAATAACGCGCAGTGGAGAAGGCGTGTCAGCCAACTCGATTTAATCAAGCAATAATCTATATTTATAGCCGAAAAAATAAGCTACAAACATGTGATGAATAGGATAAGAAGTGCACACACATTCGCTCACATAAAAACAGTCAAGAGTGATAAACGAATAATTAACAAGGTCAAAATATGACTCAAGTAAAATGAACGGATTGGCCTATCCGGAAGCTAGAATAAATTATATGGGCTTAACATTGCACTACAAAGTAACAAATTCACTAATCACAAATGCCAGTAGTGTTTATTAATTATAGTGCATTATTTTGGAGACTATTCCTTATGCATCTTATTTATTCGGTTTTAATTAAAATTTCAGTGGAACAATCCATTCATCATTTGTAACTGTTGTTCATTTTTCTGTCATTATTTAAAAAAAAATTATTTCAAGTTTCGACTACATTGATCAGCCTTCATAATGTTGAGAATAATTAATTATTTATTGCTTATGAATTAATGATACCTGTGTTTACCTGGTAGAGTGATTGTTGAGCTATGCTTTCTGATTACAATAAAAGTTGTAATTATATTCCTAAATTCCTAGACTTAAAAGTCACACTTTCATTTTTACTATGTTTTAAATAATTTAAATAGCTGCCACATATTTCGTAAAAACAGGTTTCTAGGCATTTGATTTTATCTACAACACATTTTTTTCTTATGGTGATGTTGTTAGTGAATCGCATCTTTTCACTTTAGAAGTTTCATAAAAAGCATTTCGTTTGATTAGTGAATGTTTTTTTTTTCAATTAACAAATAATACATAAGGACAGAATGTACAGGATGGTTACTTATTTAATAAAGTTTAACGAAGACAAACAAATGAGGTAACAACATAGAATAATGTATTAGTATAAAAATAATTTTAGAAAATATATTGAACAATTGCATTGCATTTGGAAACACTTTAATAAAATAAGTTGATTAGGTATTTCAAAAGTTTATTCGACAGTACATACTAAGATTATTTGATAAGCTATTTGTTTGATACACAATTATTTCACGTTAACTAATGGATTAGTTCATTCAGATGGAGTACTCAATAGGTTAAGAGTATCATTCATGTCAAGATAAGTTAAAATGAAAATAAAACTGTGAATTTTCGTCCAATTACCTTAGGAAAAATGTAATTAATAGTTCATAATGTCGCCAGTTTTCCAATTAATAACATCATCCGCAATATCTATATCGATAATGACTAGACAAGATTTATTTTCCTGTATTGATTCATCTAACGAAAACTCTTTCATATTAGTTAGTGTCCTGTTTAGTCGACTCAACACAATTCCTAAAAATGAGTCATCTATACGAATGTTTTGTGTGAAAGCCATAGCCACAGAAGCATCACTGACAATATCTGAACCCAACAAATAACCTATTCCATAGAAGTAAGGTGGATAGTAATCCCATGGGTATTCATGTACTGAAACCGACCATTTCAAACCAAACTTCTCCTTTGACGGTCTTGCCACTACACTTGTATAATGTACCAAACCTCCTACGGTCGATCTCGAAACAGAAACATTCAGACTCCTGATAAGTCGAATAGTGTTTTCAGGCAGTAATGCATAATCGTCATCAACGAACAGATACAATGGTGTTTGTCCCTTACAAAATGTAGCAGCCCATCGATATGACAACATCATCTTGGACGTCAAGTTGAAATACGTATCATGAAATGACCCGACCAACATATCATTGAATTTTCCACTCTCGTCACTCAGCTTCTTAGCAGCAATCCATCGTGAGTTCTCGTAAAGTTTAGAGAGTCCAGAAGCGTTCCGACCAAGATTCACAGTGACTCCGTCGAAATGATACACATCCGTTTCATTTGGGGTCGGCAATCCAACAACGAAGACAAATCGAATTCGGAAATCTTTCCACAGGTGTGATTTCATGTAGGTGTCTCGAGCGTACGATCGTTTGTCAAAGCAATAGATACACGACTTCACTATTACTATGAGATCAAGACTTTCTGGTGGTTTGGTGGGACTGCAAGCACTCTTTGGTAGTTGTACAACAATGATCGATCCTCCGTTGACCGGCTTCTGGAATAGAGAATGAAAGAAATCACGGGAATATCACATTAGTGAACTGGTAGATGACAATCAATTTCTACATGAGATATGTATCAACGGCAAGTGCTGTAAAATACACTGTTCTTGTTTGAGTGAATCTTTTACTGGAGTGTTTACTCCAGCCAACACTAAAAACGTGGGAGATACTAGGAAGTCATCAGATGCATCATTTATGTTGGTTGTAATCACTACAATGCATCACTGTTCAAAACCAAACATCAATAACAATTTAGTCATCCCAAGAGCTATGCCTTTACTTTGACATACAACATGCATGCAAAACCATATGCATTTCCAAATGAACGTCATTTGTTCTGAATCGATTAAAAAATAAACGTTTCAATTGAAAGAATACTTAAGGTGTAAATGTATAGATCTATGATGAACTTCCGGTATTTTAGTAATCATTAGGTGCTAATGGTCACCGTTTTAACCTCAACCATATCATAAGTTAACTATAATCATTGTAACGTAGTAGTGTTGATAACACACTAAGAGCTACGACAGCTTACTTACGGATGTTTACAGTCACTGAAATCGTCTGATAGACATCTCAACACACAAAATGTGAAGACGATGTGCTTTAACACGGTTAAAAAGTCAGGTTGTGCTGAAATACAAAACCGTGAACATTCAAAAGAACAAACAGTTTATTAACATGTCAAGCTAGTTTGTACTTTCCGGTAGAACATACTCACGCCATTCATTCTAACGCTGTCCATGTTCTATGCAAAGTAAGTCACCTGTTTCTGACCACTTCGCTATCAGTTTTTGACTTTAACTTGTTAGTTTGTTGAAACTAACAGCTAGCATGTGGAATATCGTTCGCTCATAGGTATTTATCACATGTATTTAAACCAGGCGATCAATATTCGTAAACGTAAGTTACTTCATCCACCGACGAACTTCCGTACACTTGTAATTGATATCTTCATTTAATCGGCCAGTTGTTATTACGTGCATAATCCGTCACCTATTAGGCAGTGATAACAGTTTGTATACTCAAGTTCGCAATTTCAGATAGACATGACATTTATATTTTCTGGTATTCCTCACCGGGAACCATCTGTTACATATCTGATTGTATCAATTCACAAAGATTTACCAACTATTCGTTTGATAAATCCTATGTTAGACTTTGAATTACATGTTTGATTTACTCTTTATCTAGAGTTTCATAGACGAAAAGAGTGTAATGTGATGTTTTTAACACTCCAATAACTTTCAATACAATCGCATATACGAATTTCGGAATATTCCATTTCAATAGACTGATAGATACTATATCTCCATGTGTGCCTGTTATCTAGTAGGAACTAATGCTCCCTGACCATACTGCAATTCGATCGATAGAAATCGATATGCATTAAGAAGCACCTGACATCCATGACATATGTCACCACCCGGAGATCAATATGAGGAAAAGTGTTCATCTACCAGTTCACTGTCAAAATGAAAATAATGAGAGTGACCACCCCTCACATTGTCTCCAATATCAGAGGATATTTACCCTCTTATTTAATTTATCCAATGCTCTTCCTTGAAGCAACGAACTGAAGCTGATAACGTATAAAATTACCAAATCAATGGGAAACATGTATATCGAAATGAACTAATAAGCTAGTCAGCACCAATCAAAAAACGTACGGCGTCATCAGATAACCCTACTTCAAGAGCATGAAGTGCTTCTTTCACATTGAAATACTTCGGATGATGCACATTGCGCTTTCTCATTTTCACACTTGACTTCACATTAGACATTGGAATTACATCACTACTATTCGACAAAACATAACGTTCATTCAACATATCATTCATATGATTCTCACTATTTATTCTAAATGGAATTTGTATATCGAGAAGTCCGTAGTTTAACGGTGTTTGAAACAGACGAACTGATGGTTGGAATCCAGACAATCTTACATAATTTGTTATTCTCAAATCATTCAATTGATCAACACATTGAAGCCACATTTGCTCCGACTTCGTACATATGCTCAACATTTTCATGTGAAGCAAAGCATCACTGCTGAAAAATCCCTCTTCCACTGGATTCTTGGTTGTGTAATTATGATACAGAATAATTGATGGTATTTGAAAGAACAACACAGTCAATATGAAAACTGTAGTCAATTTCTTAGAAAAATATATTCCACAAAGTATATATCTTGTAATAGTCATCAGTAATTATTGCGATTTGAATGTTGTTAACATTTATATTCCAATTATTATATATCATTTACAGTTATCAATGAGAAGATCTCTTAACTCACACATTAACTTCATTGATTCCAATTTAATATGTAAAAAGAATAGCGATACTGAAATCGTACCATTAGTGTACTGGTTTCTAATATGAAGGCATAGTTTCATCTAATTAAATCAATATCATGAATAAAAAGTATTCTCAAGTGAACTATTAGTCTATTTTCTGAATTTAAGTCTGGTTCCTCTTTAGAATAAATAAGAAAACTAAACATATTTTGTGTCCTATTTCTTTCGTTTTATCAAACGTAATTAGAAGTTAGTTTCTTTAATGATTTGATATATGATTAGTATTGGAATACTTGTAGTGGTTCTCCTCAATTCTATATACATTTGCGTATTATTCGATCACGTTTGATATGACTTTCGACAAGAAACGGGCAGTAACCTCGTAACTGTTTCACATTCCATTTCAATGTAAAACCGAGAGAGAGTTGAATAATTAATGTTTAAAATGGTAAAAATTCGACGATTTATGTATGAGCAGAACAAGGTTTGATACTATGTGTCATGAATGCTCACCTACATGTAATAATTTGCTATTGTACAGCGGTTCTCTAAGTTCAATGAAAGTGATTTAATGAATCGAATGAGTTACTAAGAAATTCACACAAATATCTTGTGAACAACAACTTATGACAATTGTTAAATCATTTTATCCTGTAAAACAACTTCCTCTAATTAAATCAATATTATGGGTCAAAAGTATTCTCAAGTGTACTATTAGACCATTTTCTGAATTCAAATCTACAAAAATGTATAATCCTTGTACAATGTTCTTCTTCTAAATTAAAATCTGAAAATCTAATAAATAACAATAGAAGAATGAAGATGAATTTCAGAAGAATCTTCACTAAGTGACTTCTGAATTTTAACAAATTCAAACAGAGGACAACTCCACCTGCATACCATTTAGAGTCACTGTCGCTCCCAAACCAGAATGATGGAGGAGGGTCGAGTGTGTGATTGGCAGCCACATACTGTAGAAACGAACATTGATAAAACATTGCTCAGCATAAAAAAAAATTCATATAAACCAAATAAATCATATAAAACTAGATCTAGAAGTTGCAGCTTCTTCATCTAGAACGGTTTGGACGCCTCATGCTTAAAGATCAGACTCTTCGGAAATCAAGAGACCGATAACCACTCTGACAACGGAAACAACAATTGACAAATGCTCATGGAGCGCACTCACAACCCAACATTCTAGTAGACATCATAAAAATACAACTTGGAGGTGATCGAAGAAAGTGAAGTACGTTGGATGATGATTTCCAAGAAGCACCAAGAAGCACCAACAATGGATCTCTATTGATCCTCTGATTAACATTCAAGAAACGAAGAGTAGGAAGACAGGAATCAACAAATACCAAACAAAATAAAGTGAAGAAGATGCATCAGGAGACTGCAAAGAAGCACATCTCATCAAGATAACAAAGAGAGTAGATCTCAGCAAGTGCGAGAATAGATGGGGCATCACACTACAGTGACTACCAGCAAATGGTTTCAAAAGAGTGTTGTTGAACCGGATGGAGGATTCAGTAGACGTCCAACTCTGAGATCAACACTTCGGATTCCGTGAGGACAGACCGTGGGAACCAACCAAATCACACTTGATGGAGAAGCTGTGGGAGTGGTGAGAATCTCTACATACCTGGTTAGCACCATCAATAAACAAACAGAATCTGACACACGTGTTTAGGCACCAATTGGCAAAGCACGTACAGCATAACCACGATCGAAGAACATCTGCTACTCAAAACAACTGCCGATCAACATCGAAGCCACAATCTTCAATACAAACGTCAACACAATTCTATTTAGAACAGTTTGTGATTTCGTCTACGACGAGTCTGGTTTTATCGTTGAGTCCTCGTCAGGCTTCCCGAATTCTACCGACCATTTAGGAACAGGTTTGATTACTGCTTGTTTTGTTTCAGCATCACATTCAATTGTCTATTAATCACCAACACCTCCAACATCACACCAACTAAATCGAACTACTTTTCATAAATCCAGTTTCGTTGTTACGCTTTTCCAATCGCATTCATCGCCTCCAATCAGAACATCCAATAACACTGTTCGTTCAAAATCACATCCATCTATATTATCTGTGATCAGAGTTTTAGGAAATTTTCACGATATTTACCAACAACAACAACAACAGCAGCAGCAGCAACATCAAACGTTTCAGTTTGCAGACGATCGAAAGTCTCAATTACCCATTCTAACTACTACGTACTTATCAGTAGTCACACGATTTTATTCTAATATTACTTCATCATGAACGTTATGTTATATGAAGTTGGAAAGTCATAATAGTAAACTATATTCATATCTGTTCTTTTGTGATACCAATCAATAAACTACAAAATCCATCAAAGTCATCACATCAAACCAATTCTATAGACTTCAATGAAGCTCTGAAGCACGTTGAAATGAAAAACATTAATGACCTAGTCTATTTCAGAAAATTCAGTGGCCACAAATCTATTCATTGATAGGCAACTACACTATGACTGATATTATTGAACACATCGATTTATTACCAT